GTGAGAGCAGAGGGCCGGTGAGAATACCTTTTCTCTACTGCCCTGAGACTTGCAGGGCAGTGTCCTGAGCTCCGTTGCAAATCTGCTGTTCGTGCCAGCTTTCTTTATCAGGTGTTGGACTCTGAGTTTACTAACTCTTGAAGGCCATGAAGCAAAAAGGCTATCAGCTGACACTTGCTCCTCTGTCCCCTGTGTTTGTAAACACTACCCTCCCCCCTGTCTGGGAAGGCCGGAAGCACCCTTCTTTACTGCCAGGGAACTTAGCTCTGGCGGGCCCCCTGAGCGCCTTCCCTTCCATGCCGGTCTGGTCATGGCTCCGGGGGAGTTTACCTCCCCTAAGGAAAAGGGTGGAATGCACAAAGCCCAGATTCTCAGTTTGGGGCTTGGAGCTTCCCTGGGGGAGGAGCTCAAGCCAGCTCCCTGCCAGGTAAGTGAGTTAAGAACCAACCGGATGGGAGAACTATGTGCTTTTAGTTAACAGCTGCGAACACTGCTGGTCATGGCCTCTGACACCTGCGTGTGATGCGCACACAGGACGGACACCCTTTGTGGAGCACACACCTAGCCAGGCACTGTGCAGGGAATCATGCACGAATCATTCAACTCAGTCTTCCCAGGAGCCGTGAGGTAGATTTGTCATTCTCATTGCAGTGAGGGGGCTTTGAGAGGTTAGCTCAGCTGTTCAAAGTCGCACAGCTGGTGAGTGCGGAACCAGATGTGAGTCTGCATCTCTCTCACTCTAAAGTCTACCTACACTTTTAGCTCTGGTCCTAAACCGCCCAGCCTGAGAGCAGAGCACCCTAGAGCTGGAGGGGGCGTCAGCGTCTCCCAGCCGTGGCTGCGCGTCGGAACCACCCAGGGAGCTTTAAAAACATCCGAACGTCCCTGCCCATCTACAGGCCGGTGACTCTCTGGGTGAGGCCTGGCCTTGGGATATGACATTTTAAGTTCTCCAACTCTGAGGGGCAGCCCGGGTGAGAACCGGTAGAGTCCAACACGTTTACTTACAAATGATGAAACCGAAGCCGAGAGAGAGGCTTACCTGAGTTCACACCGCTACCGAGAAGCAGAGCGAGGGGTGGGTCAAGTTCGCGCACAGACGCCCGGGCAGCCGCAGGCGCTGCGGAGAGCTGCGGGGCAGACGCGCTTGGTCGCGCTGATTCCAGACGGGAAGCCAGAGGCGCACATACCCCTCAAACCACACGGTACTTATTCCTTACACTCAGCGCCCCCAATGCCAACTGGAACATTAGGGCATTTAGTGTGTGTCTCTAGCAGTCCTTTCGGGGATCAGAATTTTCGAGTCCTGTGGGGCAGCCCCCCTGATAGCTCGGGGAGCAGATCTCAGGTTGCAGATGCCCCACCTCGCTCTCAGCCATTTCTTTGTCTTCTTTTCCAGACGCTCACGACCCGCCACAACCTGCCATGACCCGCCACGTGTCTGCCCACATGTTGCCCCTTCAGACATGTGTATGTCTCTCTCTTCTCCGGAAGGCTGGGCCGGGACGCCACGGCCAGCTCCGTGTGGTAAATCCTGGCCAAAGGTCACAGAGGCTGGACTTAGGTCCCGAGAACCTAATTCTCAGAGCTCAATGGCCGAATAATCAAGCAGAGGTAGAGGGGTTGGGGGTGGAGGAGGAGGGTGGTGATGGGACAGCTCCTGTGCGGGAGGGATGTCGCGGGGGGGGGGAGGCTGGGAGGATATGGAGGTGGCAGGAATGAGGGGATAATTCCTCCTCTTCTCTGGAAGCCAGCCAGGGGCCAGCCACGGAAGGCTGCGCTGGACCGTACCCCTCAGGAGGGGTGGGCCACTTGGGAGTGCACCTCGGGAGGCAGAGCAGAAGGACCTGCGGCCCCTGAGGGGGCCCAGGAGCCTGACTTCAGGGCAGGGCACCCCCTTCCTTTGGGGAGGGGGAACTTGTGTCATCCTCTTATCGTGCCTTCACTTACCGCCACCGAGATGCAGTGGGGAGTGAGTGAGTTACATGTAAAGGGCTTAGGACGGTGCCCAGCACACTGCCAGTGCTCAATAAACATTAGCTGTAGTTATTTTAGGCCAACTGCCCAATTTCTCCCAGCCCTCAGGCTCAAGCTAACGTGCACAGTTTTCCACCGGGTGAACATTCAGGCCGGGTAGGTGAGGGTGGGGAGAGACGGAAGGGCATGGAGCAGAGTGGCCCTGTGGCAGGCAGCTCCTGTCCTGCTGACAGCCTGCCCCTTCCTGAGGCTGGGCTCCCATCTGTGCCTGAGCATCACACCAGGCTCACCCTCTCTCTCTGGCTCCTGGGGAGGCACACAGAGGAGTGACCAATTGTCTGGACAGCTGAGCAGTTGTGCTAGAGTGCAGGGCCACGCCAGCTTTAGTCACGTGGCAAATCCCCAGGGCCATTCCTGGAGTCCACCCTGTCCCACCGAGGAGGACTCAGCCATGACTCACTGTCTTCAGGTGCTGCCTAGGCTTTAGTCACCCGGCGCCCCTTCCCCGGACACTTGATTCACAGCCTGGGCCGGGCTCTCTTATCCTCCGTTAACCTCTTCCCTCCTTTTCTTCCTCCTTTCCTCCTTCCTTTGCTCCCCTCCTTGATCTCTCATTAATTGGATCTTGGCTGGTCTCCCTAGCAACTTGGACAGTGTGAGCCTGGCAGATGGATGATGGCGACAGTAGCTTCTAATGCCACCCCCAACCCTGTCAGAGACGCTGCCAGGAACGGCTGGTAAGCAGGCAAAGAAGGATACTGCCAACATCAATATGGTGACATTTCTGTAATCTGGGGGCAGGCGCCTCGGAAAGGACCTCCACCCTGCAGCTGGCTGATTGTGAATTTCCACTCTTCATAATCCATTCCGGGGGCCAGACGCCTGGGCTGTCCCCTCTGAGAACTCATGAAAGGTACCGGGAACTCACTGAACTATGGCAATTATTTACACTTCAGTGTGAATCCATTCATTCCACAAATATTGAGCACCTACTATGTATCAAGCACTTGGAAAATGGTAGAACAAAATAGATAAAAATGTCTGCCTTCTTGGACATTATATTCTAGTGGAGGGAGGCAGAAAATAAACACAATAAACAGGTAAATTAGATAGTTGGTTAGAAAGTGGTAAGTGTTGCCCCCCCCAATAAATTAATAAATAAATAGAACTCAACCAAATGTAGGGTAGGTGGGGTTGGGAGTGCTGTGGGGGGAGGGATGGGGCAGGGAAATTGGCTGTAGTTTTAAATAGGATGGTCACAGTCGGCCTCCTTGAGAAGTTAGGGTCTGTAAAAGACTTTGAAGAAGGGTAAGAGAGTTACCTCTGCAGATGTCCAGGGGGAAGAGCGTCCCAGGCAGCAGAAGCCCTAAGACAGGAGCAGGCTGGCACTCTGCAGGCGTAGAAAGGAGGCCAGGCGGCTGGAGGAGGGCAGAGAGGGTAATCATGCTGGCGGAGGTAGAGAGGGAATAATATGAGGTGGTTCCGACCATCTGAGGCCTCCTAGATGCTAAGGGCTTTGGCTTGGCCCCGAGTGGGATGAGGGTCGTGTGCAGGGTTCTGAGCAGGGAGGGGCACAGGACCTGTTGTATTGGGACTTGGATGTACACAAGTGAGGAGGCTATTGCAGAAGTCCTGGGAAGAGAGGCTCAGGCCAGGAGGGCGGAAGTGGATTCTGGTTGCTTTTGGAAGGGGAAGCTAACAGAATTTGCTGATGGATCGATGTGGGTGCAGGAGAATGACTTTACTAGCCACTCACCTGGGCACAAGTTCCAAGGAGCCAAGGTTCCCAGGCAGATGAGTGCTCTGTCCTAGGAGGATGGGAGGCAGGGAGAGAGGAAAGGGGTGTGCAGAGGGGAGGCTCAGGGGCTCAAGCCATGTCCCCACCTCCCCATTTAGCCTTAGCCAGACCCCAGCCCAGCCTCAGGCTGTATTTTAGGCTACTCTGAACAAATTGGGTTCTGAAGTTCCAAAGCCTGTGCCTGGGGCCCTGGAGTTCTGGGGGAACCAGATCTTCATTGGGAAGTGATCAGTGCCCCCAAAGAGTAAGCTCGGCTGGGCCACCCTTGGGGGTCACATAAACAGCTTCCTGCACTTTGCCGGGAGTGCATGGGCCCCCCGCCCTACCCAGCACAGCAATTGGCATTTCCCTCTTGCAAGCCAAACCACTTCGGGACCTGCCCCAGCCTGTGAAGTCTGAGACACCAAATGCTTATTTACCTGGGCTCCTGGCCTCAGAGGAAGGGAGGAGGAAGGGGATTTAAAGGGCCCCAGCCACTCAGGGTGAGGCCCACCGCACGTCTGCCCCGCCTTGTCTCCTCTGAGGATCTGGGATTGCAACACCTGCTCTCTTCTGCTGAGTTGATTATTAATGAGTTCTTTGTCACAGCCTCTGCCGATGGGCAGAGGATAAGAGTTTCCTGGAAGCTTTGAGTTCAGGGAGCTGGGGAAGTGGAGAGACCACCAGGTGGGAGAACTCAAAACACAGGTGTGTCAGAGGTGACCCTTCTCTGCAGGGGACTAAGTGGGGGTCTCCTCTGTGTTGAAGGGGTGCTGTTTGTACTGACCCCAACTTGCTGAGTTAAGCTAATAGATTTCCCTGGAATGCTTACAGGGGGCAAGACCCTAATATTTATTGGAGTATCAGTTATGCATCTAAACAACTTATTGCCCATTTGCTAATTACACTGTGTCCCCTGCCCACCTGAACTTGTGTTAAATTAGAACCGGAGGGTTAGAAATGCCCAGATTGATCCACAAAATCTTACATCTTTCTCTTAAGGGTTTTCAAACCAATTTCTTGGCATAACCCTCCAGTGGTAGAGAACTTTCTGTTTAGGAGACGCTGGCAGGCTGGAATAGGTAGTTAAGAGTCTCCTGTAAATTGCAGCTTCGAGGCAATAGCATTCCGAAACCATGCCAGGGCAGGCTTTCCAGGGCCAAGACAGGGCCTGGGTGACCTTCCAGATCTCCCTCAAAGCTCTTTGGCCCTAACCTGGGGGGAATGGTGGTCCGTGAGACCAGCCCCTCAGTCTGGACCTGTTACTTCCATTGACAGTGGCTCTAAGCCCAGGAGCCCTAAGCAAGGAGCCCGCCCAGGAGTCCACAAAGGAAGCTGTGTTCTCGGGCCTGGCAGGGCGCCAGGGGAAGTCTGCTTTGACTTCGTTAGTCCAGCTCTGCTTCAGCCTGTCCTTCCTGTGGTCAGGTCTGTTTTCTGGCCCTCCAGGCGGGCATTCCTGCCCAGGGAGGGAGGGGCTAGGAGTGGGTGGGGGCAGGTGGGGGCAGTGACTCACAGGTAGTTACCTGTCCTAGGGCTCCCTGCCAACCCTCCAGAGGGCACTGGAGGGGAGGCATTTCAAGTCACCGTTCATTCCTCTTACACTTTCCTGGATGAGTTGAGTTTTGGTCCCTTCCTGATGAACCTCGCCTTTTAAGGATCCTCCAAATTCCCCAAGAAACTGGGCTTTTCCACTTTTTTTTTTTTTCCGTTGGGAGGGGACTGGTGCTTTCCAGGGTCCTGGATATTTGTGTCTTCTCACCTTCCAGCCCAGAGACATGTCTGGGGCTTTAACGCTCTACGTACAAGCCCTGATCTTTGTGTCCTCTGCCTGGTCTTCTATCCAGGATGGTCTGGGACACAAGAGGATGCTGACCTCCACTGGCCTTGGGAAGTGTCAAGTACAGTGCCTGGCACAAAGGTGAGGGCCTTTCCCTACCCTAGAAGTTCTGCTCTCTGATGCTCACTCTCTTCTGCCTGGTGCCTTCTGCTTGCGGTGCCCCATCGGGCCCCCAAGGCACCCACAGGCAGGAGGGCACTGCAGAGCTTGCTGTGAGGCCTCTGGGACCAACCCACTTGCCCAGTCCCGTCCTGGGGGGTGGGGGTGCAGTGACGACAGATGGGCGTGACGGCTGCCAGATTCCTGAGGCCCGCCCTGCAGTGGGGCTACGCCCAGCCGGGGAGTCTCCAGAGGTGAGGCTGTTGTTTAAAAACTTGGAGCCAGGAGAGGAGACCCCCACATTCAAGGGGAGCTCTCAGGCGATCTGGAGAAAGGGCGGCAGCAGCACAGAGCGAGGTACGTTGCCTGCCTTCACCTGCCTGGTGGGGGCTAGATGGTGGGGGAAGGGCTGTATCTCTGGGCGCCTGGGGCCTGGTTGCGGGGCCTGATTCATTCCTCTTCCTGGGAGCTCACCTGAGTGAGCTCACCTGCAGACGCCGGGTTAAAAAGTCTGCTGCTGCTTGGATTGCGTTTTCACATCTGATAAATGCTTCAGTGACTTAGAAGAAAGCAGGTTCAGATCTGGGGTTGAGCACAAAAGAGAAGTGGACAGGGGAGACTGGCCCAGCTCAGAATGCCAAGGTCCAGGGGGATTTGCAGCCGGGGGTGGGAGAGCAGAGAGAACACCGGATGAAAATCAGAAGATGGGTCTCTCTCTTAGGCTATCATTAGCCGTGGGACCTCAGGCCACATGTCCCTTCCCTGAGTTCCTGTCTCTTCTGGGAGGGGATGGGAAGGAATGATTTTTGAAGCATTAGGGTCTGTAATTTAAAGATGCCAGGAATGCCCCAAGGTCCCCTTGGCCCCTGCCTTGCCAAGTCCCCAGCCCTCCATCCCAGCCAAAGGAGTTGGTGGCTGTCATTGGAGCAGAACGAGCATCCAGTCTAAGGCAGAGGGGGGTGCTACATGAGCAGGGTGGGTGTGCTTGACAAGGCAGGCCTGCCTCTTGGACACCCCAGCGGCTTTCCAGCATTCATCCCCAGCCCTCTTCAGAAGCCCTGCTCTGCAGCCTCCCAGCCCCACCCCTCCCATTGAGCCCCAGCCCATAACTGGAGACATTCTGGGGTGCTTCCTGTTCAGGTGAACTCCTCACTTGCTTGTTAAAGACTTTCAGGCATACTTCTCTACCCACTGCATCCCAGCTACATGCTTAGCCCAGAATGTGGCCCCACAGCCACCAAGTGGCCCTGGGTAGTATTGGAGACCTTGCCAATGGCAGGGGAGGGCTTGCCTATTCACCTTTGGGCCTGTAGGTTGGGCTGGGTTGAGACTGCTGGTCCAGGCCCTGAGAAAAACCAGTCTTCTCTCGTGGGGCAGGAACCAGGCCTTGGACCTCCCTACAGCTCTTTTCCTGCAAAGGGCCCAGCCTTTTCCTGCTCCCCATGTCATCCTTATGGTCGTGTGGGGTAGGCCAGGGTTGATCCCCCTTCCCATCCATTCCAGAGGAGGAAGCCGAAGTCTGGGAGGGAATGGGATTTTCCCAGGGCCCCCTGTGAGTCGCATACCAGCTGGGACAGGGTCTGGAGCTCTCGTATTTCCCAGGCTTTTTGCTATAAATGCATCTGAGGCTCAGAAGTGTCCTAGGTCAAACCCTAGGTAAAGACTTCTGAAAAAACTCGAGTCCAGAAACAGAAAAGAAAAGGGGCCAGTGTGCTCTAGGGTTTGCACTGTTGTACCCAGACTGCTTGTCTCTGCCCCAGGTGAGGTCCTCTCTGGGGATCACCCCATTGGCTAAAGATGAGACCACTCCTTCTCCTGTGTTTCGGTGAGTATCCCTTCCCATCCCTCCAGGCCCTACTGTACAGCAGGGAGGTGACAGCGCAGGTAGAAGAGTTTACCAAGGTGTGAGCATCACCTGTCTTGGGTTTGGAACACTTACCCACTGGAGACACCTGTGAGGTTTCTCATTTCTTTGGGCCTTTGAGGAAGAGGATTCTCTGACTCTTGAAAGGCTCCCAACAGTCTCATTCTTACCCAAGGGTGTCTGTGGTTTCCCGAATGCTCTACACAGTTTATTTCCCGTCCTTTCATTCTCAAGCTGGTTCCAGAGCCACTGTGGCCTGAGTTCTAGATTTTCCTGTGGACTGTAGCTGGGCGCTCACACAGTGTGGCTGGGCCAGCTTTACAGACAGGAGCAGAAAGAGTGCAGGCCTCTCCCAATGGTTCACAAGTGGCTCAGCCACCGGCCCCCCTCTGGGCTGTGCCAGAGACCAAGAGCTGTGGACCCTGTCCAGGTGGCCAAGTGTGTATCTCTAGCCCGATTCTAAAAGCCATAGATAAATGCTGCTTTTCAGGGTCATCTATGGGTTTTGGTTGCCAGTGTTCCTCTTCCTTTCCTTTTCAAGTTTGGGGTTCTAGAATATGAAATAAGCTTTTAAAATCTAACAGTATCAGGACTGCAATCCTTACCTCCAGCAGTGAGTGGGAGCTTGAACGAGGGAGAGGGTCTACTCTTATCCACGTCAGCTCCCCTGAGGGATACTGGGGTGGTCGGCTGGGCCCTTTTCTTTTGGGGCTGCACCCAGCACATCCCTGTGATTTCAGCCCTACCTGGCCTCCTGTGTGCCCAGCAAGCCTGCTCCCGTGGGGCCTGCTATCCACCTGTCGGGGACCTGCTTGTTGGGAGGACCCGGTTTCTCCGAGCTTCATCCACCTGCGGACTGACCAAGCCTGAGACCTACTGCACCCAGTATGGCGAGGTAGGCCCTTCTCTGATGGCCCCAGGCCTGGAGGAAGGGGGACAGGATGGGGCAGGTGACCCTGACATTTGTTCACTGAATACTTAAGAGTGAACTTGGTGCAGACCTTGGTGTGGGGCTGGGGAGTGCGAGAAAAGTATCAGGCTGATCCTGCCTCTAAGGAATTGACCTATGGTTGGGCAAGAGGAAACGTACTCAGAATTGACAGAGTAGCTCCTTTCTCTCTTCTGGGTAAAGCAGGGTCTTTTCTCAGACCTTGGGCATGGGCAGGGTAGTCTTTCAAGTCTTGGGAATAGGCAAATAGACAAACATGGACCCTTTAGGTATGCGGAGTCTAATGTCCCATCTTTGGTGGAGCATGGTGCTGGGATATGTGTGCTGAGCTGTGTTCTACCCGTGGCAGGAACCAAGCTGTGCCGCGGTCGGTGAAGTAGATGAGGAAGTGATTTGAAGTTATCCAGAAGGGTCCAAGACTCAGCTGATAAGCTGGGTTGAATCCAGGCACTCCATGCTTTGAGCTGTGATTAACATTGCCTATCAGGCCATTGGCTTTTTCAAAGAGCGTCGTACTGTTTCTTACACATCGCCTCTGGGCCTCTTTTGCGGCAACTTTGGTTTTCTTTTCTTTTCCCCTCAACAAGGTGGGGTCTTTTTTTGCTCTTTGTTTACCAAAGTTGAAATCGCCCCATGTTTTCTTGTCTCCCAGCTGCCTCATTTGGCCATTTTGCTCTCCTCAAAACCGAGGCTTGCACAAGAGATGGGTAAGGGAGTGGTTTGTTGGAGTCTCTGCAGGCTTTTGGAAAAAAAGAGGGGGTTGGGGAGAGACGGTGAATGAGAGAGATTGAGCGTCATGAAGGAGACTTGGGTTATCTATGGTTTCCGCTTTCCGGGCTGCCCTTGTCCTCGGGGCCGCGGAGGTAGTACCTGAGCCAGCCTCTGGGCCTCACTGCCCTTCTAGTCCCCATGTTTTTTGGGCTATTTTTAATCACAGATGGCGCTGGGTAGTGACTTCGGAGGTGCTGAGCAGAGATGGCCGTGGTTTCTGCATCTCACCCACTTGGATGTGGGGAAGCCCATTTGACAGTGTTGGGTAAGACAGCCAGCACTGGGCCAGCACTCCCCGCAGGCCCAGATTACTCCACAGGAATCAGGGGGCCTGGCAGTGTCGGGCTTTCTAGGCAGCAGAGTGATTTTAGCTGCCCCCTTCCCACATACCCACCAAATCGTGTGCCACTGAGCTCGTGTCTGGGGATTGCAGGGAGACCTCCCTGCTGCCTTTGCCCAGGCTGACTCACTATTGGGAAGGGGAGCGAAGAGAGGACACGGCCCCGACGTGGACATGTGCCCTCCCTCCCAGCCCCGTCTGGACAGCCTCGCCCCCTCTGGGGCTTTTGGCTTCACCCAGGCCTGCCCTCTGCCTCTCTCAGATGCCCCAGGGAGCCAGCTGCCTTCCCTGCTCATGAGAAGCCCCGGAGAGCCAGACAGGGTGCTTGCAAAAGAGAAGTCTAGACTTTTGCAACCCTGGGGATGGATAAACCTCAGCTATATTTTTTTTTCTGTGAAAGCTGAGAAGCGTTGGCTCTTTTTTTGCTTTTTTTATAAGGGGGAATAAATCCATGTAGCCTCTTGGAAAGAGCAGGGGATGGGGGCATCTTGTGGGCGGTGTGTAGTCTCAGATCTGCCACTAACTTGTGGTGTGACCTTGGGCAAGAGATTACCCGGTCTAAGCCTTGCTCTCCTCTTCTGGAGGAGAGTGTTAGATGAGGTGGCCTTTAGGGCCCCTCCTTTGCTCCACCCTTCCTTGGGAATGGTCTGACTGCTGATGACACCATCGCTCCCCTTGCCTTCCACCTCTGTCTTGTTTATTTCTCTTCCCCTCTCCCTTACGTGCCTGCCCTTCTCAGAGGCCGCGGGTTCCAGCCATGACGACACACTAAAGACACAGACACTCCCTTCTGGTCCTCTACAGATGTGCCCCGAACCCTCCCTTGGTGCAGTGGTGGCTGTGTAATAAGAATTGGAAATTCAGGTTTTAACTCTGTTGAGTTCCAATTTCAGTTTTTAAGTTTATTTGGTTATTAAAGGATACCAATAGCAGCTATAATTTATTAAGCATATATTATGTGTCCTGGGAGTCATACTAAGAGTTTTATATAAATTATCTCAATTAGTTTGTACAATGCCCCATGAGTTCGCTCTTGCTATCCCCAAGAACTATTGGGAGGGTTTGGGTGGGTGCCGGGACCTCAAACTTCTGATGGAAATACACGTGTTGAGTTTTCTGAATAGTTAGAGATGGGGGTGCGGAGGGAGGGTCGGGGGGTGTCCTGAATAGTCGCAGCTGGAAATGAGGGTGGCATAATTCAGAGCTACATTCCTACTGCCCACTCCTGCTCTATTGCCCTGCAGGGCTGACACGGTAAGCCAGGTACCAAGTCCCCAGACCTGCTCCCTGCCTCCTGCTATGGCATGAATACACGTGCAGAGAGGTGGGGACTCGTGACACCTGGACATTTCTGCCTTACTCCACGCCCCAGCCCCAACCCCAGCCCACTAGCAGAGGGGCGCTCAGCAGAATGGGGGTTCCCGAAGCAGTGGGGACCCCTTCCAGTTCCAAAATTGTCTCTCCTAGCTCTCCTCCTCCTGTGGCTCCTTTTTTGTGGGCCAATCTGAGCCCGTTTGCAGTTACCTCCTCTGCTTAATTCTGTGTCGGTGTCTAAATTCTCTTGGTCTCAGGGGCTTGTTTCTGTGGATTTTGGGTCCGTGTTGCAACCCTTGCAGTGGACATCGGGCTTGGCCAGCTGTACCTATGGCCCTTGCTCCTCCACCTCCCCAACTTTGCCCTTCTGGGCCCGTCTGCCTTGGTGACCTGTTGGCTGTTTGGGTTTGGGACCGGGTTGTTCTTTACCAAAACGGCCTGAAGCTGCAGTCCCACCCCGTCCCCTTGTGTTCTTTCTTCTAGCTCCTAGATAACTTCTGGGGAAACTCACGGCACTGTCAATCCCTCAGTCTCAAGGCATGGATGAGAATGTCTCTGATGCCCTTCCCTCATGTACATCCGTGCTACTCTCCAGCCTCCTGTGACCAATGGGAGTAAGGATAGCACCTGCTTCAAGGGGTTGTGTGAGGACAAGAATGTGCGAGATGACCACCGGCTTGGTGCCGGGCAGATGCTAACTGTTCTGCCCGCCTTTCTCCCCTCCCTGCCTGCTGGTGGCTGTGTCTGCCTGTGAAGGCTGTCCCGTCTACAGGTCACACTCCTGAGCATTTCCTTCCTGATCAGGACACTCACTCCCATACCTCACTGAAATCAACCCAACCTGGGGCCGCCCTGCTCTCTGCTTCCCAAGCTGACTGCTGCCAGTCTGATTTGCAGTGGGCTTGGGACAATCCACAGGCTGCCATGCTTAGCCAAGTGGCCCCGGACTGGGGGTGAAGACTGTCTAGTTCCGATTCTGGTCTGACACTAGGAATAGGGATGTGACCCTGTGAAGCTCACTGCTTCTCTCTAGACCACTGTTTTTCCATGTATGAAACGAAGGGGTCGGATTAGTCAACCTTTACCATTTGTTCAGTTCTGGTGACTCTGGCTGCCTCCCAGAGACAGCTGGGCTGTGCGTGTGGCCCCGAGGGCCACCACCATCTCTCTCAGGGCGAGCGCTGGCGGGGGCTGAGCCTTTGGCCATCTCTGGGCTGGTGCACGCTCCTCAAGAACCGGCAGGTTTTATCTGAAAGCTCACCAGTCCCGATTTCTGCTCCCGACGTCTCCTCCATTGTTGTGTCTGCTCTCCTCAGCGCTTTGTTTATCCCCCATTCCCTCCCTTTCTGGGGGAAAACTTAATTACCCAGTTGCCTTAATAACAGTCTTACACAGCGCATTCCTCAGGTTAATTAACTGTGTAAACCAAACAGCTGTCATTTTTATCTCTTGGAAACAAGCTAAGGAGCAGTAGCCAGTTGGAGGTCCCTCCTCCCTGGAACACACATGCACACATGCATGTAAGTGCCTTCTCCTCCCTGGTACATGCGAGCACACATGCATGTAAGCTCACCCACACCCACGTGCACACAGCCCAGCAGCCACTGCCTTTCTTTGTTTGGCAGTTGTCTGCTTTCTTGACCTTCAGGAAGGCTAAGTGTAGACAGAGGATGTGTTCATACACGTACTATGATCCCCATCCTCTGCCCACAGAGGACTTTGAGCATGTCTTTGCCAAGATACCTGTTAACACTTACCTGTTTTCCAGAAGCTCTGAGTGGGTCTAAAACTTACAAAGCTCTACCATTGGGGTTTTACTCTTTTGGATGAAGCATTGTTGAGCTCCTTGTTGAAAATACAAACACCCTTGAGAAAGGCACCATATCAATCTGCGATTTACCGTTCATCCCTCTGCAAGAGTTTGTTTATCAGAAACTCAGCTGTGACTTTTGCAAAGGGTCCCAAGAGAGTAAGACCCTGGATGAGTCATTTCTAAGGGGCTAGAAGAAAATGCAAAGAGACATTGGCAGGAAAGAGTTGCTATCAGATAGAAACAAAACTTGGGTTGGTGGAATGTGAGATTCTTGGATCCTTCCTGGTTGTTATGGGCTAAGGAGTGGGGATTGCTGGACTAAAAGGAAAGAAGAGAAGGGTACGGAGTGATGAGAAGGCCTGAAGACAGACTTGGGTGGCCTTACAACTTTGCCGGCGTGGCTTCTTGCCCCATTGCTTCTGGGGTTCAGGCCCCTGGAAGCCTCTGGGCAATGTCTTGCACATCTACCTTGCTTCTTTGCGCAGCCTTCTGCCCTCTGCCTGAGGCCATGTCAGGGGCTGTAGGAAGCCAATGCCACTGGTAGAACCTGTAGAGATCCCAGGCACATGAGCTAACTCTCTGCACTGAGGTCTAGGGGGACGTGTCTGTTTCTGGAGAGGTCTGTGCTGACACTGAAGCTCTCTTTCCTAGGGGAAGGGGAGGGGAGGAGTTTCCTGAAAACCAACTCTGAAATTTCCAATCGTTTCC